TCCCATTGCAAAGTAGATTTTTAAAAATGAGTTAATTCTGGGTTTGTTCTATAGAATTTTCTCAGAAAATCGCTAAACCGTCACTTTTGTATAAGAGTGTCTTTTTCCTTTTGCAAAAGGGATGTATAAAACATTCTGGGACCTGTGAGAAACGTCTGGTCGCCAGGGTCAAGTCATGTCAACCCTGGCCACAGCTGGAGAAATGGGCTCCTGAAACCTCAGAGATAAATCCGCAGCACGTGTCTGTTACAGCCAGCCAGCCACACTGGACACTAGGACGCGCAGTGGGGACCCTCTCCCTGTGTCACCTGTTCTGCGCTCCCGTGTGCACCCCGGGCTAGGCCTGCAGCATTTGCTTTCATATCCTTCCTCTCATGCTACCACGAGAGAATGGTTCCGGCTGGATGCGAAATGCCTCCCTTGCGCTCGTGTGTTTGGACCCATGGTCCCCAGCTGGTGGCGCTGTCTTGAGACGTTATGAAACCCTTAGGAGATCAGTCCCAGCTGAAGGAAGTGGGTCACTGCGAAGTGAGCTTTGAGGGCTATCTCAGGCTTGCTTCTTGTGCAAACCGTGTCCTGACTGCCTATTTGAATCAACCAGCCACCTCACACTCCTGCGGCCATGACTTCACTACAGTATAGACTAACCCCTCTCTGACAGCCAAGCAAATCTTCTCCCTACCTTAAGTCAGAGTCTCAAGCAGCTCAGGAGGGTCTTGAACTTGCTCTGTATCTGAGAATGGCCTTTGACCTTTGATCCTCCTGTCTCTACCTCCTGAATGCTGGGGTTTCAGGTGAGTGCCATCATGGCTCAGTTTCCTAAAAGAACCAGGATGATACATGCTGAGCTAGAACTCTACCAATTCTATACCCTGCTTTCTTTCCTCCCTGGAAATGAGTACATGTGTTGCTTCTAGAAGTTCCCCCAAATGCCCTATATTTTTTTCCTGAAGCTTGATCTCCAGTATGGCCATATTGAGAGTTGGAGTCAACTGGAAGGTGATTAGGTTATGAACACTTCCCTTGGAAGGGATTAATGAAGGTCTTCTGGGGCTAGGTTAGTTGTCCAGAGACTGATTGGGTCTGTAGGGAAGTCTGCTATTCACCACTCCACATATGCTGCCACCATTGTGAATCTATCTCATCGTGAACTGAGCAGATACCAGCACATTTGGATCTTCAGAAAAAAATAAGCTAAACTAACCTATTTTCTTCATAATGTGCCCAGCCTCCTAGATTTTGTTATGACAATGGAAAATAAACCAAGACTCTTACCCCTTTCCTTTAAGTTACAATTGAAAAGCAAAAGCAAAACCCTACTTTCAGACAGAAACAATTCACAGTAGACAAGTTTGATTCTGACTGTCCGGTAGCCTAAATGCATTTTAAAAGAAATTGCAAGTGTGGTGCCAAGCGACGCAGCCAGAAAGGCCTTTACGAGGCACTGTCGAACCACAGGAGAGGAGAATGTGCGATAATAGAGGCAGGCCTGCCTGGAGACTGGACTAATGGACTCTGGAAAGGAGTTGGAAATCTGGGATGAATTTCTAAGCCATTTTTCCTAATAGTTCTAAGAAATATAAATTAACTTCTAATGCCTTACTGAGAATTCCCAAAGGAAGACAGTAATTTTTTTCTCCTACCAAAACAGTAGTGCAAACACACAGCTCTATAATTCATGTTCCCAGGAGAAATCTCCATAAATATTTTCCTAAAAACTGGGCATCATGGCCCTGATGGCACCTTGATTTTGACCTCCAGTCAAAGAACTGTGAAAGAATACATATTGAATGCATTAAGCCATTTCTTTTGTGAAACTGATACACTGAGTTTGACCTAGTCTCCCTAGGAGCTGAAGCAAGAGGCCAGCTTGTTATATACGCTGGGTTCTAGCTATTCTGGGGCTGCAGTGTCCTGTGACACTATGACATCAGAGAAAGTCTCGATCTACAGAAAGAAAACAAGATGCAATGGGCAGTTGTAAGGGACAGCATCACAGTACTAATCTGATAATGAACTTTATGCAGGTGTTCCTACAAGGTGCCTCACTGAGGGCAGATGGTATGACATCAAGAGACAGTTTGATAAAACCCTATATGGGAACCAAGTGAAAGAGAGCATGTCACTATCAACTAACAGCGATAAGAAGGACTTAAATGCTATAACAGCCATATGCAGCATATGAAGTGAAATGACACCAACTATCAAAACTGTCACAGTAAGAAACAAATAATCTACACCTGAAACACCTGAAGAGATTTAACTAGTACTTTTAAAAAGAATGATCCATTTTACCCTCCATGGATGGATACTGTTCCTCCCAGAAACAACAGGTTACTAAAGAAAAGTTCCAGTGCCAAGTGTAGGCTAGCTCCCGTTGAATTGTTGGCCAAGGAAAGAATACAGGCTATTGCCATTGCTCTTCATTACCACTGGAGAGTGAGACCCTTTTACTGAAAACACCACTGGCATTGGTCACAGGACATGGAGAATCAAGCTGGGGCTGAGCTGGAAGCCCCTCCCTACTGGGCAGCTTTCATGGTGCCCCAGGGTGCCATGCAGACTGTGGGGTTGGGGGAATGATGGACAGTCCTATCCAGCTCCGAATCCTGTGACCTACAGTTATGAGCTGCCAGACAGGATGTGCTAATTAGTACAATCTGTAAATCTGGTCAAGAGTCTGTAGCCTGAGAGGCCATAGGCCCTACTGGAGAACTAGTACTATTGTTTTGCTACAGGGTCACATTGTCAAACTGAGTCTTCGTGTTTATACCCATATTAATGTTGCAGCCAGACTTCATCAGAGACTCTTTTTATGGCAGTGGGCAGTGGTTAATGCTGAAACTCAAATGTGCTCATCCCCAAATGGAATCACTGTATCGCCCCCCATCAAGGATCACAAAACATGATAAGAAGAGGAGGCAGGAAGAAAGCAAGAGCAAGAGGATGGCGATATGTGCAACAAAAAGATGTCTTCTGGGTAGCCATTGTACTCAGGAACTGGCTGAGGTTCTGGTTATCTGAACAAGGTCTCAGGAGGCTGGGCCCAGTAACACCCTCTCAGGGCTATGGGAGGGGCTCATGAGGCTCCACCTCTTCCTGATGGAAGCTGGGATGATTGCTGGGATAGAGAGTGTCAGTTTCTTCAGCGGTGTAGCCACAGAGAAGTGGCCTTCTGTCCAGTAAATGGGCCCCACCCACATTAATGCAAACAACTGTAGCCAACTTAGTGGGCCACAGATGAAGGCAGGGAAGCTGGGGGAGCTGCTTTCGGGAGGGGAGAGGTAGGGACTGGACAGGGAATGGGGGTTGGAAATGACTGACACTCATTCCAGAGACGGGTGAAACCGTCAGACAGCAACAACAAGACATGTCCGTAAAAAGACAGCAAGAGCCAGAATGTCTGCTTAAAAAAGACATCCTTTCCCATTCAAGTATTTCCAGGTCTTCACAGACTCTTTAAAACAGAAGAGAAAAGATCATTTCTCGATTCATTTACTGAGGCAAGAGTAGTCTGGTACACAAACCAGACTAAGTAGCATGAAACAAAAACAAACAAACAAACAACGCTGCAGAGCAAAACCGCATCAAGGATGCCCCAAAAATGCCATATTCCAAGTTCATGGCTGGGGCTTGTGTGTCTTAGGCAAACTCCATAAATATTTTTTTCAAACAGTTTTTGATTTTAAACAAAGAATACACAGCAGATTTTGAGCTGTTTCTGGCATGACTCTGGAGTACAAATATTCTGTCTTAACAAGGCAATTTGGGTCCCAAATTCCAGGGCAGCAGACAGAAATGATGGATTTTTAAATGAAAATTAGATACCATTTATATATTGTTGAGAACAATAAAAGCTAGAGGAATTGCCCCTAGCGAGATCTTATAAACGTGAAACCACCAGTATAGACTGGCCAAGGGCACGTCCTCAGCACCTCTCTTTCTGAATTACCTGAACCGAAGCAGTTAACATGGATTGTATTATTTATCCAACAGTTTCTTGTTTCTTTTATTTTTACATTTGTTTGCTCATCGTCTCCCGGCTAGCAAGGCTTTGGACTGAAGAAATGGCTCAGAAGGTAAAAGCAGGTACCACGCTTGTGGAGAATTCAAGTTCGATTCCCAGCCCACAGTAGGTGGCTAGCAAGAGCCTATAACTTGAGTCAATTACAGACGATCCATCGCCCTCTTCTGGACCCCACTGGCACTGCACTCATACATGCACAGACCCACCATCGGCACTGCCCAAATATACCAGTAATCTAAACAAACAAACAAACAAAAAACCTAGTGCAATTTTTTAATAAATAAAGGGCAGAATTGCCAGTTGTGCACAAGAGCTGACTGGTGTATCTAGGAATTTGGCAGGTCACTTCTTTACGACTATTTGTACATTAAAATCTACCGTGGTAGGAATATTTACTTGACCGAAACAGCAAACCCTGCGCAACAGGACTGCCCCTCAACCTGCAAAACCCCAGGGCTCTCACCCGCACGCACTCCATCGCACAAACCCTGAAAAAGTTTATTTTTCCACCTCGAGCGTGGCATACAGAAAACCGCCTTAGAACGAAGCTGTTTGCAGCTGATGTAATTGTTGTAAAATCACGTAGACACTGTTATTGAATCTAATCAAGACAAAAGTAGTATCCCATGCTGATGTTCTGGTGAACACCTTTTCCTCTTTGGGCCTTTGGTTGCAAGGATTTCGGACTTGGGCCACATCAGAGATCTTAAACTGAAAGAACCCGAGCGGCGCGGCCAGCTGAGGACCTGGGCCCGCCGAATCCAGGTCTTGGAAGGTAAACGCAAGCGTGCAGAGCCGCAGTTAACATTTTCAGCATCCCTGCGCTACTGCACCGTTTTAAAACCCCGACAAATTTCAGTTCATTAAACGAGTTCTCCACCCGCTGCTCTAACCCCTCATCGACCGGATGGTTTAAGAGGGACTCCCCGACGCTCCGGCGTCCAGACCACGCGTCCCCGCCCCCACCCCACCCCCCACCCCCGACGCCCCCAAACGCGCGAATTGAGCGCTGTGTCTTTAAGGGGGAAGCGGCCCTTTCCGTCCGGGACAAAATGTCCGCGAGGAGCCGGGAGGCGAGGGGCGACCATCGCGACGTCCGGGTGAGCGTGGCTGGGGCAGGGCGCGCGGCGGGTCCAGGGCGGGGGCGTGGCGGGAGGGGAGGGACGCCTGCGGCGCGGGGATGTCGAGGGACACGGGGGGGGGCGGCGAGGTCATCACGGGGCTGCGGGGACACCGGGGGCTCCCGAAGCTGGGAGCCCGGGGGGACCTTGGGGGCGGCTGGGACGCGGGGACCGGAGAGACCGCGGGTGGAGGCGTGGCGGGAGGGCGGGACGCCCGCGGCCTGAGCGTGGTGGGCAGGGTGCGGGGAGGCCGCGGGGACCTCGGGGACTTCGGGAGAGTTCACAGGGTGGGGATGCCGGGCGGGAGCCGCGAGTTCCTGCCGGTGATCCTGCCACCCTGGCTTTGCGGAGAGGCCCAGCCTGTGGGCCCCCAGCTCTGTGGTCAGCCTGCTCTGGGGGCAGATGGAAGAGCCACCCCCATAAAGTTGTCTTGGAGAAGACTGACCCTTAGCACTGTGCGCCTACGAGGGGCCTCTCGCACTAATTGTGACTTGGTTAAAGTTTCCCACTGGTGCGGGGGAGAAAACCGGTGTAAACCAGTATCCCCTCCTCCACTAGACACAAACAAAGAGTTCCCTGAGCCTTTCCCAACGCGCTGGAACGCCATGTAAGCCACCTGTGACCTTTCGCAAAGCTTTACGAAATGGCCTGGGTTTTTCCCCATTGGAAGGAGAAAGAAATAAGTACCTGTCATCGCCGAGGTCCAGGGTTTAGAACAACTGTTGAAGAATTGGTTTCATAAATTATAATAATTGGTGTTATTCCTGATTTTTTTTTCATGACAGCGTCTCTCTACATATCCCTGGGTGACCTGGAACTCGCCTGTGTAGAGTAGGCTGGCCTAGATCTCACAGAGACCACTTGCCTCTGCCTCCCAAGTGCTGGGATTTAAGACATGGGGCACCACTCCTGGTGATTCCTGTACATTAGTACACCTTTTGGTCTCTAAAATAGTTAGAGGCACGTGACAAAAAGTATAGGAAATTGTGTAAAAATATCATGAGTCAAAACCAGGTAATTCTCAACTTAAAAATCTTTTAAGTTGCAAAGGTCGTCAAAGCAGGGCATTTTAAAATTGTCCTGATCCTTTGAAATTACATATATAACTAATGCAGAGATGCAATAAAGGTCCACTTTAGGGCATAGTGCTTTATAGTCTTCATTTTAAATGTATTAGTAGAGTGTTTTGTTGGCTCTTAACTAGCAGTAGAAACAGCTGAGAGTTCAGCTTAAAACATTAAGGTAGCATAATTAGCTAAGGGTCCAGTGTGTGTTTTGGGGTTTTTGTTTTTTCACACCCATATATAACCTTTTTCTAATGTTTTCACACCAAGCCTTTATTTCCCAACACATTTTACACTTTGCAGTCATTTTTACTGACTCAAAAAGATTTTTTTTAATTTGTGTGTATGCCCCACCCTGTGTGTGTGTGTGTGTGTGTGTGTGTGTGTGTGTGTATGTGCGTGTGTATGAGGGTGCCTGTGGGAACAACACGGGGTCAGATTCCACAGACTGGGTTACAGGCAGTTAGGAGCAGCTGGGCATGGGTGCTGGGAATGGAGCGCGGGTCCTCTGGGAGAGCTGGGAGTGCTCTTAACCACTGAGCCATCTCTCCAGCCCCTTTATGGCTTTTAATTTCATGTGTGCCTTCAGGCTAATGATTACCGACTAATTTTTCTAGTTGTCTGAGCCTATACATGTCAGGAAACTAATCGGTTAGCAGAGATGGACAGACCACAGGTGAATGGATTGTAGTTTCCTTGGCACTTCAGCCGTCAAGGCTAATTGTTCAATTATTGTGTTCTGTTTGATGTAAACCACTGTTGGATGAAGTGCATGAAAGTGCCATTCGTGCTTGCACATAATCTGTGGATTTCATAATGATGTCAGTTTCTCATGTTAGATCCAGGCTCAATCAACACATATTTGTTCATTACGCTGTTGGCAAACTGAAGTGAGTAGCCTTGACCATAAGACAAACAGGACTGTACTTCACTTGTTATTTCCTTTTGAAAACATTTCCTGGTTCTTTGGCCTCTAGCCTACCCAATTCTTCTCACGTGTGCAAGCATAAGCATAAAATGGTAAAATTAATTTGCATGAGTTGCTTGTAGAATAACTATGTATTAACAAAGCAAGGTGGATCTGACATAACTGTGTACTTCAGTGCAGAAGGCTTTAGAGTGCATGGGGAAAATGAGGGAGATGCTCCTAGGTGTGGGCTGAGAAGGTTTATTGTAGATGTGAGGGAGAGCACAGCCAGAGGCACCTGGAAGGGTCCAGACTGAGCGGTGAGGCATGAGAGAGGAAGAGGAGAGAGGGGCGAAGAGGCCAGGAGCAGGCCAGGAGAGCGAGAAACCAAGAGACTGGGCAGCCAAAACGGCTGAGTTATATAGGGATCAGTGATCAGCCGCTGGGTGGAGGGAAGCTCTCCTTGGGCTGGAGAGTGTAGGGTAGGGGGTGGGCTGAGAAGTGCTGACAGGGGCCAGGCCTCTGTAACAGGCACTGGTGATGCTGAGAGAGACTGGTGGCCATCCTCCACTTTGGTATGTTAAATGGGCACCTCAGCCGTTTGTCCCGAATTTGAGACTTACTACAGTTTTTTCTTCCTCCTCCTTAACTCCATTTATAGGAGCTGGAACTCAGTGGTAGAACACTTGCCTAGCATGTGTGAATACTGGGCTCAGTCTCCAACAGCACAAAAAGAAAACAAAAGAACCACTGTCAACAAGAGAATTAATAGACATACTGCTGCTATGGCAATAGTGGAAATGTCTGCTTGTCTTACAATGAATTTTATAGTCATACAAGCATATGTATTATGCATATGTGTATATGATCACATTTATAGTGCATAAGAAGATCATAGGCCTTCCAAAGTTTTGCATTTATTTATCTTTGTGTATGTCTGTAGAGGTCTAAGGACAATCTGTGGAAGTTAGTTCTCTCCTTATACCTTGTGACTCCTAGTGTTCAAACTCAGGTCATCAGGCTTGGTGGCAGGTGCCTTTGCCTGCTGAGCCACCTTGATGGCTCCATTTTTACAGGGTTTAATGACTTCCTTCAGCCTCTGGGTTGGTATTTGGGGAGGTCATACTGAGGAATCTGGATTCAACTCGATAGATTACTAGAATAGAATTTCTCAAGATAGACTCAAATGCAGGGATAATTAACTGGAATCTGTTATCTTCTACAGATGTAGGCTTATCCCTCCTTCCAGAGCACAGATCCCCAAATGAAGCTCAGGCACTGGAGAATTAGAGGCAAATCGCCAAGCAGTGTTCTTCCCGCTTCACAAAAGACTTCACGTTGCCCACCCCCAGCTCTTGAAATTGGACTCACAAGTTCCATTGCTATGTTGCTGTTGCTAAGTTGCTTTTATCCTAGCAGTATTTTGATGTGGCTTGAGTGTGTTTAATGTTAAAACAGGAGCTCAGAAGTCTAGCTGTAGACTAACAAAGTAGAATTGGCTTGGAGCCAAACCCTGACCTGATCTTAACCAAGGATCCTGGAATTATCACTGGAAACATCTTTTCACCCCCTCCCAGGTGGTGAGTTAGTTACCCGAAGATAGAGTCTGCACTGCTCTTCTCAGCTAGTCAGCAGCAAGCCCTTGTGGAACCCTGACCAGGTGCATAGTGAACATTTGGACCTGAGAATTGGATAGAGCCAATGGGTATAAGCAAAATAGTCGCATCTCTTGGCAGCTTTGTACTTGTTTTTTAAAACGTTCAAGAAAAAAAAATGAGGATGCTCTTGTTTTCCATTTTCTTTCTGTTAGATACACACATAGTTAATGCCTATGCATCGTTATTTGGGGCTCGATAAGGGAGAATGGACATCACCCAGCTTGGGCTAGCCCACCTTTTGTAGTTCCTGTACCTGAGTGGTGAGCAGCCTATTTTTTACATGAAGGTCTATTTAGGAAGTGAAAATAAATCTGAGGAGCAATGGTCTTGAGTCACTAACCCTTCCTGGTTTCCTTTTGGCATTAGGAATCCTTAGGGATTCTTCCCATTTTGAATGTCCACCAGAAACAACACTGCTTTTCAGTGTAGGTGCACCTGAGCAGGAAATACTAGTCTCTCGTGTGTAGCTCATGGCTTGAATTTGCATGGTGCTTCGAGTCAGACATCCCCTCCCTCGGCCATGCTTGTAAGCATGTGATCTTTACCCAGGGAGGTGCGCCTGCAGCAGGAGCACCCAGGCGTCTGTTCTGTGTCGAGGAGATGCACAGGTTGAGCCCCTTCCCCCCATCACATTCTCCTTCCTGTGGGTACAGAACCTCTGGCTGCTATAAGGCACAGGGGAGCCGTGCTGTGCTCGTTGGTCCTATACGTTCACCTCCTCCCTCCTGACGGCAGCACCCTGTGTGTGTGTGGCTCTCCCAAGTGCCTCAGCAGGGGTTCTACCCTTGGGACTGTCTCCTTCAGCCTCCTTAAAGTCCTGTCCCTGTCTGAACTCACAGACGAGATGCCAACGTTTGTTTATTAAAAGTCACTTCACTTACATATAGATCTTCCTGCACACATACTTTGTGGTAAGGCATAGGCATATGGACCATCTGGCTTTCTTAGACTTCTTCTTGGGCTTTTGTGTTTTCTGCTTCTCTCCCCACCTTTCCTATCACCACCCACCTCAATCTGGAGTGTCTCCTTTCCAAATCTGTGGGCATGACTCCATGTAGGAGTTTTGGACACTATGACGGTGTGCAAGTGGTAGACATTCTATGGAAGCCATATTTTGGATTCTGACACTTGAGCCTTTCTGGCTAGCAGCACACAGCACAGGCAGCTGGGCATTCCTCTTAGGAACCTGGCAGTCATGAGAGGAAACATCAGTGTTCTGTAGTGCAAGGTGGTGCTCAGTCATAGTACTTGATAGACTATGTTAAACGCAGTTTCTACTTAAGGTATTTTCCACACATGACGAGTTCAAGGATGTAAATGCATCATGAACTGAATAATACCTGTATCTTTACAGCACTGTAGTGATTTGCTATTACATAGAAATGTTGGAATTTTATATATACTATAACATCTAGCATTCCTCCCCACCCCGAAAACTTCCCCTAGAACACCTGCCAGATTTCCCATCCTTTGAATGACTGCATAATACTCCCTCTTGCAAACACACATTGTATACTCAGCTATGGCTCCTATCTGACTTCATGTATCAGTACCTTTAGTTCTACAGAAGAGATATCACATCTAATTTTTACTAACGTCGAAACTCCAGATGGCCTTCCTCAGAGCCCCCAGCCTTTGGCAGGAAAGTGAATGTGCCTGCTTTCTGCCCCTGCCTCCTCCCTGACTTTGATGGTTGTACCTGCCTGCTTTGGGCGGCGGATGTAAAATGACATTCTGCTCTTGCCCTCATAGCATTTCCCTGAACAGAATTGCCTTTCCACAGATATTTGAATTGGCCCTTAACTCATTTGCTTCCTCGTGTTTCTTGCCTGGTTTCATATTGGATCATTTGTCTGTTAAAGTTGTGTCCCCCACCACCCGTAAGAACTCTTGGTGTGTTCTGGAGTGGTGAGGAGTTCCCAAGGCAGATGGATGAGCCAGGGCTGTCTGCTGTGCTCCAGGTGAAACTGAAATGAACTTGGGCTGTGTTCCAGGGCTGGACAGATGTTAGGACTGGGCTTTCACCCTGGATATAAAGTCGTATCGTATGAGCCAGAGTGCAACCCACTGTGGAGGGCTGAGAAGGTGGGACAGCTCCATACCATGCTGCCTCCATTGGTCAAGACCTCCAAGAGTAAATAAAGGGCTGGTTACACAAGGGATGTCCCTCCACCACCTTGGAGGGGCAGCACTGTGCTGGCCTACATTCTCGGGTGGGGGACAAGCCCTAGCCAGTGCTCTCCTGCGGTGCCCACTTCACTCTTCCAGCAGACAGCACAAGTGGCTGACGCTCCTGAGCACCTCAGAATTTACAGGAAACTCAAGTCACAGGGACATAAAAGGCTCGACAGTAATGAGTCACCCTTGGCATTGTTAGAGGTGCATAAGCAATGTGGATGCTGAGCCCTTGCCACAGGTGAAAGAAATCTGCTGGCTCACATGCTTGTCAAAATGGTGGAGCAGTGGTCAACTCATTTTAAATTTATGAACTAAATTAGATTTGCTATAATAGCATCCCATCTTCTGTTTATGTCTAGTAATTAAAAGGAGCCTGGAAAGGGTAGATTCCAGGTAGAAGGGAATGGAGTTCTTAACAACAACAAAAGATAGGGTGCATAGAAAATTTTAGATGAAGCTAGATAATTAAACTTCCTAATATTACCATCATTCTATTTATGTTTTAGATTAATATTTGGTCAGCATAGAGAGAACTGGGTTTCACTGTGGCATTTCCACACTTTGTTCTTGTCCCTGTCACCCATCTGCCTGATCTTCTTTGCCCCCTAAATGGTTCTACCTTCTGCTCCTATGACATGTGTATTCTGTTATCCTTTGTTGTCCCCTCCCTAGTCCTATAGACTCCATTCTCTACTTTCTACACCTACACAGATACATACCATCTGTATATAAACTTAGTGTACATTGTGTGGGGAAACATGGCATTTGTCTTCCTGAGTCTGGCTTATTAACTTCACTTACAACTCTCCAGTGTCATCCATTTTCCTGTGAATGTCGAAACTTCACTTTCTTTTATGTGTATATAACATGTCTTTATTCATCTGTTGACAGACATCTAAGCTGATTTAATGTCTTCCTTAAAAGTACTTGTTTATTTTCAATTGTGTATTTGGGGGTGTATGAACATAAGTACCCCTGGACCTGGAGTTATAAGTGGTTGTCCTCCAACATGAGTGCTGGCACTGAACGTGAGTTCTCTACGAGGGCAATATTTACCCTCACTGCTTAGCCATCTCTTCAGCCCCTGGTTCCAAATCTTGACTATTATGAACAATTCAGCAATAAACGTGGATGTGCAAATATTTCTGCGGTGTGTTGACTTTGAGTTGTTCAGGCATATAAACACCATGTATGGTACAGATACATAATGTAGTGTTGATGGCTTTAATTTTCTAAAGAACCCCCCCCCCCGGCACTAATGGACATAATAACTACACTAATTTACATTCCTGCCAACCTTAGAGAAGGATTCCTTTCTTCCAGTGTCTCAGCCATCATTTGTTGGTGACAGGTTTCTTGATGACAGATGTAAGAGGGAACATGAATAGGCTTAAGGACAAAAACTACATGATCATCTCAATAGGTGCAGGAAAGCCTTGAAGAAATGAAAGACAGAACATACCTCAACACCTATTGCAAGCAGGGATGTCGGTCTGTAGTTTTCTTTCTTTGTTGTGTCCATATCTGGACTTAGCATTGAGGGAATGCTACCTTTGTAAAGAGAGCTTAGTAATATTGCTTTTTTATTTTATGGAGAAGTTTTGAAGTGAATTTGTATTAGTTTCTTCTTTTAAACATGTGATAGAATTCAGCAGGAACCCACCCTTCTTTGTTAGGAGACTTCAATGTCATTGCCTGTTACAAAGCTGTTTAAATTGTTCATATCATCTGGACTTTAATTTTGGTAGGTCATATGCAGCTAGGAATTTACTCATTCCTCCCGAATTTTGCAGTGCTTTGGGAAATTTTAAAAATACATGCTAATTTCAGAGTTCGTTAGGATCTGATGTACCCTCCATTCATCTCTACTTTTGCACACTGGGGTAGTCTCTCATTATTTCGGTTAGACTGGCTAGAGGGTTGTCATTCTGAGATTTTTTTCAAAAGACTGACTTTTTATTTTTATAGTTTATTCATTTAGTTTACATTTCATTAATTTTTGTCCCTGTCTTAATAATTTCCTGCCATCTACTCCTTTGGTGTCTAACTTGCTCATTCTGTGTGACCCCAGGGTACATCATTAACCTGCTTATTGCATCCTATCTGGATTTTTAATGTAAGCATGCAGAGCTATAAACTGTCCTCTTGGAGCTGCCTTGGCTGCACCCCTGAGGTTCTGCTTTCATATTGGCTTGAAATTTCCTCCCTGAGTTTTTCAAGATCCACTGTTCGTTTGACAAACCATGTGCGCTCTACTTTGTAAATGTGTGCCGTGTCTGTAGTTTCTCCTGCTGTGCGTCTCCATGTGTGGTCTACTTTGTAAATGTGTGCCGTGTCTGTAGTTTCTCCTGCTGTGCGTCTCCATGTGTGGTCTACTTTGTAAATGTGTGCCGTGTCTGTAGTTTCTCCTGCTTTGCGTCTCCATGTGTGGTCTACTTTGTAAATGTGTGCCGTGTCTGTAGTTTCTCCTGCTTTGCGTCTCCATGTGTGGTCTACTTTGTAAATGTGTGCCGTGTCTGTAGTTTCTCCTGCTATGCGTCTCCATGTGCCGTGTCTGTAGTTTCTCCTGCTATGGGTCTCCATGTGTGGTCTACTTTGTAAATGTGTGCCGTGTCTGTAGTTTCTCCCGCTATGGGTTTCCAGCCCTGCTGTACTATGATTTGTTGGTGCCTCTGTGTTTATTAAGACTTTCTTGAGAACTACAAGGAGTTCTGTTTTAGGGAAGGTTCCATGGGCCACTGCAAAGAACTTAGAGCCCGTGTCTTTTAGGTGGATATTCTGCATATATCTATGATTTACAGTATAGTTTAACTCTGAAATTTCTTTGATCTTTAGTTTGGGACTGGGTATTGAAAGCACCCACTATTATTACTATGTCAGAACATTTTCCTGGTCTTTTTATTGATTTAACATATTCTGTAATTTTACAATCTTGGCTACTGCTCCCTCAGGACCCGGTAGTATGAGCAGTCACTGGCTAGTTCACTAAGCCTCGTTCTCCCTTGACCATGATGCTTCCTGAGGTAAGCCCTCAGAAGAACTCAGAGAGTCTTAAGTATTAGAGAGTTTGTCTAGATCCATACATTGGGTCCATTTCCAACTTGTTCACTAAAGAACAGATGCCACCTTTTTTATAGTTTTGCGGGGGGGGGCATATTGTGTGGGTGAACTGTCTTCCTCATGGAAAGTCTTAGTCATTGGCCAGTGAGATGGCTCAGCAGCAGGTAAAGCATTTGCCATGCAAGCATGACGACCCAAGTTCAATTCCCAGAACCCATGGAAACATGGAAGGAAAACACTGATCCCACAAAGATGTCCTCTGGTTGGCACACCCATGCTTGATGCACAGACACATCCAAGGCTTGGGCGTTACCGTTCTGACTCTGCATTTAGATCCCTTTGCATAGATACTTCAGCAGACAAAGCGTATACCGTCAGTTTTCTTCTCCACCCTTGACTGCAAGTGCCAAGCAAGCTTTCTGGTTTTCTAATACAGAGAGGAGAGGCCATTTCGTTATAAAGTAATATATAGCAATAAAGAAGGCTAACTATTTGTCATGTGTCTTGGGTGTCTAGAAACTGCTCAGGAAACAAAGTGAATTCCAGGTGGGCACTCAACTAGTCTTTTCCTGCTACCTAAAGCTGTTCCCCCGGATTTAGGGGTGTGTGTGTGTTGCAGACTCCGAGCACTGATCAATCTTGACTTATCCTGTTCATTTGTTTCTACCTGGGAACCTAGCTTGGCTTGGAACCTCCAGGCTACAACCAGGAGGACCTCAAGATCATTGAGACCTGGCTTAATATTTAATGTAAAGACAACAGTTTAGGGCTATGCTTTACATTTTGCTAGTTCCTAAAATGTGCATATTTTGAAAGCATATAGTGGTTTCCAGTATAGTCAGTTTCCTTATAAATTATATCATTGTAATCACCACTCCCAATATATAGTGCGTTGGATCAAACCCAGGCACTTGTGCATGCTGGGCAACACCTCCAGACCTTAGCTCAGTTTCTTGATATGTTACATGGAGACTGTAGGCATTTCAGGCGGATGGGATTGGGTGGGACAGGTATTCTGGCACTCAAGAGCCACAGAATACTGAGTGTTACACAGCTCAGATGGAAAGGTATCCTGGAGCTTGGGAGCCAAGGACTACCACAGGCCGCAGTAAGTGTAGCAGCTTACAGCCCTGCCTCAGGGAAAGGCTTCCCCAGTGTAAGCCAGCAGGAGAGGGTCTTCCAGATGGGGGTGTTTGCCCAGTGTAGCAGTTTTGTTCCGCAGGAGGTTTCCTGGGCGAAGTTGCTACAGTTCAGCTCTGCTCCTGGAGAGTGTCTGAAAGGGAAAGGTTTCCCTGGCAAAAGTGTTACAGCCCTGCTTGCTCTGCTCTGCCCAGGGTCGTCTCTGCTCTGCTCCAAAAGAAGGTTTTCACCCAAAGCACATCAACGGGGTTTATTGGGGGGGAAGTATCCAGGAGAGTGGCTCCAGTTTTAGGGCCAGGGTGTATTTCTTTCACTGACTCCGATTCCAGGGACAAAGTGTGTTTCTTTGGCACTGGTTTCAGGGTCAGGGTGCATTTCTTTGGTTCTGGTTGCAGGGACAAAGTGTGTTTCTTTGGCTCTGCTCAGGGTGTGTTTCTTTGGCTGGACCTTTTTCTGAAGACACTTGTTCTTCAGAAGAGAACACTTAGTGCAGAAGGGCTAGACACAACATTTTTCTTAGACATTGGCATTTACTACTTAAGGAGAGGAGGAAAAACCATACTACAAGGTTTGTACCAAAAAAGGAAAGTAAAATGCCCTAAGCTAACGTTTATAGATCTGTGTGCATATACTAATGATTACTGTTGTTCTCCCCCTTCCCCCACGCAGACACTGCAGAAGGAATGAGGAGTGAGGAGCCCCTGGAGGCCATGGAAGACAGGGGGAGGCCTGAAGACACTACCGGACAGGGCGGTCCCTGTCCCGGGCTGGCACCCGCCGTTCCCGGTCACCTGGGGGCGCCGTACTCAGAGGCCTGGGGCTACTTCCACCTGGCCCCGGCTCGGCCCGGGCACCCGACGGGCACCTGGGCCACCTGCCGCCTGTGCGGGGAGCAGGTGGGCGGCCACCCGGGCTTCCAGGCCTGGACGCGGGCGCTGTGGCGACACCTGAGCGGCGCGCACCTGCGGGAGCTGGAGAAGAGTGGTGCTCGGAGCTCGCCGCCCGCCGCGCCCTGCCCTCCACCACCTGGCCCCGCCACCGCGGCTGCAGAGGGCGACTGGGCGCGCCTATTGGAGCAGATGGGCGCGCTGGCCGTGCGGGGCAGCCAGCGGGAGCTGGAGCTGGAGCGGCGCGAGGCGGCCCTTCGGCAGGCGGAACGCGCGCTAGAGCGCAGGCGCAGGGCTCTGCGGCAGGAGGAGCGCGCCATGGCGCAGGCGCGGCGCCAGCTGCAGGCGGAGCGCGAGGCGCTGAGCGCTTGGTTACGGGAGCAGAGCCAGGGGCCAGAGGTCTCGGCGCCGCCCTCTCCTCGGCCTCCACTTCTCAAGGAGGACCCTGATGGGGACGTCCATGACGACGTGATCACCAAGGTCCTGCTGTAGTGAAGTGCCCAAAGGACTTCTTCCAGAAGCCTGGATCGGGTGCACGGGACGGGGTGGACCGTATTGCAAGAGATTTCGACCCCAGCAATCTTGTAGTGCCTTCTTGGGGCTAGAGGCATTTAAAGACAGAAGGTTCTATAAACACCGGGTGCCTATATACAGGGCAGGGTAGAGGTGTGGAAATGAGGGTGAGGTTTTATCCAGGGTCTACTCTTTCCTAATGTTTAAAGTTGGCCCAACACCAAGTTCCAAAAAGGGACTTTGAGTTTTACTGACTGCCCGGCTGCCTACCTTCAGCATCTGTAGAACCCCACACTGGGCCAGTCCCAGAGAGGACCCTCCTCCCGCTTTGCTCCTGTCTCCTCATATGGCTCACCCAAGGCCACAAGCACATTTTTCCTTGAGTCATCTTTCTGATCCTATCCAGTGGTCGGTATAGTCTCCCACTTCTCCCTGTCTCGTTGCTTGTCACCTTACTAGCAAGACAGCATCTGTCACTAGGAAGAGCAGTTCCTTGCCCCAAAGTCCCTCAGAGACCTCTCCCTGAGACCAAAGGAGATGCCTGAGGCCACGCCTTCCCATTGCTGACAGCATCAACCCTTTCATTTCCTCTCTTTCTCCAACCTGTTCCCCAGCAATGCCCCCTAGCCCTGAAGGCCAAGGAGTCCTTGTTGCCCACGCTTGCCTTGTTCCATTCTGCTGGCCCCTTTCCGTGCGTCACTGAGTGCTAAGCTACCACCCAAAACCAAATATGGTTTTCACAGCCCTTGTCGTTCTCCTTTTCTGAAGTCCCTTCTGTTGAGGTGGAACATGCTTTTCTTTTTCTTTCTTTTTTTGTTTTTTTGTTTTTCGAGACAAGGTTTCTCTGTATTGTTTTGGATGCTGCCCTGGAACTTGCTCTGCAGACCAGGCTGGCCTCGAACTCACAGAGATCTGCCTGCCTCTGCCTCCCGAGTGCTGGGATTAAAGGCATGCACCACCAACGCCTGGCTAGGAACATGCTTTTCTAAAGCTTTTATTATATTATTATTATTATTTTTTGAGACAGGGTCTTTCTATGTAGCCCTGGCTGTCCTGAAATTTACTGTGCAGACCAGGCTGGCCTCGAACTCAGAGAGATCTGCCTGCCTCTGCCTCCTGATCACTGAGACTAAAGGTGTAGGCAGTTTCCATTAGTCAGACGACTTTTGTCCTCAAGTTCTTTTTTTTTATTTGAACTATCTATGAAAGGCTGATAAAGTGAATATCCATATGTGTGAGATATATATGATATATATATGTCATTTTCTAAGCATCCACTTGTATTTTAGATTTGTCTGGTGGTTTTTATGGGCCAATGTCTACATGCAGTTCCTAGTCCATCTCCCTATAGAGCTAAAGTAACTTCTGCCAGCAACTCACTGAGGTATCCCAGCCTGGGTCTGCACATTTATGTCCAGTCATCTGTTTCCTGGCTCTCCCCCACAACTGCATACCCTGCAACCACCACACCTGATAACTAGTATTTTCTGGACACTTACAGCATTATCAAGCACACAGCTCCAAGGTGAGGTACTGCTACTGTGCCTGCTTCATGCCCAAGAAAATTGTCAGCTAGGCGTCTCCGTGGGTAAAGGTGCTTGCTGCCAAGCCTGAAGACCTGAGTTCAGTCAGGATCTGGTCTACATGGCAGAAGGAGAGACTCGGTTCCCACGGGTTGTTCTCTGACATCCATACATGCACTGTGGCACACACACACACACACACACTAAATGCAATAAAAATATTTTTGAAGAATAATATGGGAGAGGGTTAATCTGTACAAGATTACAGCTGGTCAAGCCAGGATCTGCGTGTGACCAGCTGTCTGCAAGTTGCCATGTCCTTCCTAGCTGCTGACTGTCCCAAGAGTGGACACCTGTCTCCTGCCTCCGTTTCCAGTTGGTGAAATGGTGACATTAACATCTCCTGAACATTCACCATGTGCCACAGCTGTGCTGGATGCATGGCGATGCCCTGTTGTAATCCCCACACTTGGGAGGTAGAGGCAGGAGAGACAAGTGTTCAAGGTCATCCTGAGCTACATTATCAAGTTTCAATCAACCTGGACTACCTGAGACCTTGTCTCCAAAGACCGCCCACAACTCAGCCATGTAGCACCCCCCAGCATGTTTGCTGCATAGATGAGGACACATGCTCAGAGTCCCCTTCACCGATCCACAACCCGGTGAAGCGGGATGCTGCTGGAACTGGCACAGAATCCTAAGCACCACTGTGCTTATTTCTATGAAATGTTGCACACACACCCCTTAAGTCTTTCATTCACCTGGGATTCATCTTATCATCACACACACGCGTGCACGCATGCACGCACGTGTACGTACACACACACACACACCACATCTCTCAGCCTGCCCACAGTCTGTTCTTAGTACCTCTGTCCCAGTTTGTCTTATAATTTGTTTATCTTTAATTCTCTAAAATTCCCAACAGATTAACTGGAAGTAGCTTGTGTGTGTGTGTGTGTGTGTGTGTGTGTGTGTGTGTGTGTGTGTGTGTCTGTGGCGGGGGTCTCATTAGCCCTGAATGGCCTGAAACTTGCTATGTAGACCAGGCTGGCCTCAGATTCACAGAGCTCCACCTGTTTCTACCTCTAGAGTGTTTGGATTATAGGCATTTATACCACATCCCTGTTCATTTTTAATTATTTAGTCAATAAACAAGGAACTCCGTTTGACCCCCAACAGACAAACTTTGGTTGTCATGGGGAATAGTTTGTAATACTCCCTTTTCTTACAACAGGTTGTGTGAATGTTATGCCACAGTCTAAGAACAGAACAACAGTTTCCCAAAGTCTGCTATTTCATTATTCATTCGCTGTTTTTATGTTAGCCTAATAACAATGTCAATTCTCCGAACTACTGGAATTTAGCTTTGGGTACATTTATAAATCAGGCTGTAAGATCTTAATTTGAATATTTTAGAAGCGAAAAAGACTCTGAGAAATGTTACTCCTGTCTCACCAATGGTCAGAGTCATCAAACTAAAGGACTCACTTTCAGAATTATACTTTTAGATTCTTTACTACAGAGCCAGAGGACCCTGGGTGCTGGCTGTGGGAGTCAAGGAAGAGGCTAACTCTCCATCCTATACACATCAACAGTTGTAATTTTCTATACCAAACCTTACTTATCTAATAAAAATTATCTACATTTGCAAACAAATCTTTTCCCTCTGCACTCAACTTTCTTAGTCAAACACAAGGGTGTATACTACCACCATTTCCAAAACAGCCTAGAGAGAGATACATTCCTAGTCCAGTCTGCCATCATTTGACAGGGGAGGAACATGAGCTCCAGAAGTGTGTGGACCACTTAGCGCAGTGACAGGCCACCCATCTCCAGCCTCCTCCACAGGCACCCCGCCTCTGGCCTTGAGGGCTGCTGGCAAACACAACATCTGTTGGGACAAGCATTCTGAAATCAGCAGAGGTGGCATTTCAGAGCTCAGAGGCGGGGTCGAGGATTGGATCAACACTCTGGCCAGCACAGACTGCTCACCCGGAGCTGTCATTGCTGGCTGGCAGCCAGGATGTGTCTTGTGCATATCAGTGGGGCTGTTTAAGGTGACAACACTTGCTGATGGCACCACCCTAGTGCTGTAATGAGAGGAGAGAATATGAGTGCTTGGAATTACAACTCTCTCCTGTAAATGGAGTTCTTAATTGGTCTAGATAATAAAAACCCAGAGTCAGACATAGAGGAAAATGATGAGAGATCAGAGAGAAGAAGGAACAAGCCACCACACCTTACCTCCTTAGTGTCTCAGCAGAAAAGAGAGTGAGTTCCTATTTCTCCCTGCTTATATCCTGTTTCTGTCCAGCTATCTCACTTCCTGTCTATCTGTACAGACCTCCAGACCTCTGTGGTTAGCTGGTGGCAAGCTCCATCCTCTGATCTTTGGACAGGCTTTATTTGTACAAGCAAGGTATCACCACGCTCTCCTGTCACGATGTTTCTGTGCACTCTGTGTTGGAAACCAGTGGAGAAGCATGAGCAAAGGGTCATCAGGGGAACGACACCACCAAAATTGTCATCCTTGGCTTGGATTTGATTGGCATGGGGTGTTTCCACTGTGACTGCTGTGCCCTTATAAATCCCAGACTGGAGTCATGAACACTGTTCTGCTTTTATCTAAGATTTTGTTTTATTCTCTTCTGGACACTGCCCTAGTTAGCTATAACTGTCAACTTGACCCAGCCTAGAATCACCACATGCCATGGTGACAAAAGGAAAATGAAAACAAAGTCCTGCCACACACCAAAGCCACTGTAGCCTGCTGAAGACCCGGTGACAGAGCCCCGTCTTTGTGAAAAGGAAGACTGCTGAGTGTCAGGTGTTCAGTCCAAGGCCCTGTTGAGGCTTTGTCATTGGCAGTGCATCTTGAAGGACAAGGCCTCGCTGTGTGGGCCCACATAAGCCAGGGGCAAGTCTCAATTAAGGGGTTACCTAGCTCAAACTGACCAGTGGGCATGTCTGTTGAGGACTGTGCTGGTTAACTAAGGAGGTCCTAGCCCACTGTGGGTGGTATCATTCCCTAGCAGGCGACCCTAGGCTGTGTAAGGAAGCTAACAAAGCATGAGCCTTTGTGGGAGCTGGCAAGCAACATTGCTTCTGGTTTCTGCTCTAAGTTCCTGCCCTGGCTTCAGCATGTTTCTTTGGTCAGGGTGTTTTATCAGAGCAACAGAAAGGAAGCTAGGACAGACTGATTAGAGAGCTCCCTTTCTGAAGGTCTACACTTTGTACCCTTCAGCCACTTCAGTGTGCTCCTTTGCCTGGAAAATGGACGAGACTATCTAATTAAGGTCCCCCTGACTCTTGATGTTTACAGGAAAGACACCAGAGCAACAGTCGCTAGTGCAGAGACTCAGTTGCTTGGGAAACTAGATTTTATTACCTGCATTTAGAAACAGTGCCGTCACACAGCCAAGGGTGGGGTAAGAAAGACACTAGTTAGGCAAATGCTGGCATAAGGTTGGACCCAAGGACCAGGACTTTGTTTCTTACTTTATCTGAAAAGGAGCTCAAAGCCAATCCTAAAGCCCTCAGGAAGGACTGGCTCCTGGGAGGGTTCTCCAGTGAAGCTGCACAAAAGCCACAGAAACTGTTTGAAAAGTCGTTTCTCCCTCCCAACCCCAAGGGAAATGCTCCCTCCAGTCAAAACTGTTACCCGTGATTACAGGTCACATGACAAGCCATACAAACAGTCCTCTCTACTTAGTGACCTGGGACAGTATACAATTATTTCAAAAGTACTCCCTGCTTACAAATGCCTCCCAGAGCAGCTACCCCACATCTAGCTCATTTTAAAGACATCCTTTGAATTAGCAAATATGCATCTTTCAGAAAATTTTTCATATTTAAAAATAGTGCTAAAGCCCATCGACTATGGCGCACGATTAGCCAGGTTAATATTTCTCACTAATAAGATGAAATTATAATAAAGCCATGATAATTATTTTTGTGTGACTAATAAGTTGGCCTGACAGCACCATACCTTAGGGTTAAATAAGGCAGCATAGGTACAGAAGAGATTAAAGCCTGTTTTAGTTGGTTTATGACATGGAACGCTAGCAGCCATTATGTACTTAAACAGTATTAAATGTGTCTTATGAAAACCTTAATTGCGACATTTCTGAGATGAGACTTCATAGAATTAAAATCGGACTTTAAGAAAGAAGCATTAAGTGGTGATGAGAGCTTTGTTCTTTCGGAATGACTCTCA